TGATAAATATTTATTATAAGCCAGTCATTGCGCTGGATGCTGGTTTAAAGCTTCAAATAAAACACAATCCTTTTTAAGGATTTTATCAATGTTTAGGGAAGGCAATCATCTACATTATTTATCATAATAAAACACACATCCACAATCCTTTGCTTCACAAACCTTGATGGTTTCTAACTGCTGCCTTAAAAGCGTTGAAATTTTTTAGCTTTAGCATCAAGGTCTTCCTCAACTGTGCCACCCACTCAAACTTGTTCTGCATATTGTTCTCCTTGAACCACCCACTCCAACCAACTGGTCTGCTCAGTCCCTGCGGGATGTGTGCCTGCCCTTCCCCTATCTTTGTCACATCACTCCCAGGTTCTCCCCATTCCTGGATGACTGTAATCTTATCTATAAACTCTGAGATCACTTCTCGTTTGTACTTGATATAACTTTCTCTGTGTCATTTGGCACTTGTGACCTTGTCTAAGCTCTGGTGGTTTTATTTTTTAATGTTTAAGTATTTTCTTCTGACAAGGCTGTTGCTTTATTGTTTCACCAATACGTGATTAAATATCTGTTGATAAAGGGCGTGAGAGTGTTCTAATTACTGGTGGACGTGAGCTTTTGTGCGGAGTGGAGATAGAGAGAGGCTCAGCTAAGAGGAAGAGAGATGAGGACAAAATAAGGCACGGGAGAAATATTGCTTCTGAGTCTTTATTTTTTTATTAAATATTCTTCCATTGATTTGCTATCTTCTCTGGTGACGGGGAAAGTCTCCTCTCTTCAGGGTGGGAGGGACACAAAGTATGATCCTTGAACAAATAACTGAAGGTCACGTACCAAAGTCAATTTCACTGGCTCACTTGGGATTAGAAGCATTTCTGGACCTAATAGTAAAATGTTTTTCATTACTCATTTATTTAATTTTCTCCATGCAGAGATATTAATAACAGCAGTTTAAGAACTAGTTTTATATAGTATTTGAAGATTACATAGTTTTGATAATATCTTTTTTTTATTTCAGCATATTATGGGGGTACAGATGTTTAGGTTACGTATGTTGCCCTTGTCCCCCCCCCGCCCCCCAAGTCCGAGCTTCAAGTGTGTCCATCCCCCGGATGGTGCGCATTGCACTCTTTGTGTATGCATATACCCGTCCCCTCTTCCCCCTTCCCCCTCCCCCTGCCCGACATCCAATAAATGTTATTTTTATATGTGCACTTATGTGTTGATCAGTTAATACCAATTTGATGGTGAGTACATGTGGTGTTAATATCTTTATTAACAATGGGAAACATTTTTCTAAATGAAGATTACGTCATTTAAACCTTTATTTTATGTTAAGGTGAACTTATGATTAGTATTGGTATTCTGTGATTTTCTCTGGGTTAAAGCACTTTAGTTGATAAAATATCATTTGTTTCTTTTCTACTCTTGTAGATGGTGTTTTGGCTGACTTTAGGGCTAAATTATTTTCCCTGAAATGATTTTACAAAAAAGACCAGAATTTTGCTGATAACTTTTTAAATAAATGACTGCACAGTCAAGAACTAATAACAAATTGATTATGCAACAGAATACCAGAAATGTGAGATAATGCTATTTCTTATGAGATAATTTAAAACAATTTCTCTCTGTTTTGGGGACTCATACTTCTGAAGATTGACTTGGTTTTTTTTTCAAGGTATGATTTTAAAAAAGAAAATTAAAAAAAGCTACTAGGTTGATTTGTTTTCTTTCAAACAGTCTTAAAGACTTCAATTTGTGGAACTTGCTTCTTGAAGACAACAACATGGCGCTCGGTAATATTTTGCTCATTCATCTCCAGAATGTTTGTTCAGTTGAGAAATAAAAATGGGTCTCAGTATAGTATATAGTGTGATTTGCTCTAAATTGCACTAAAACTCTTTCTAGCCTAGAGAAATATTAGTTTAGGGTCCTGTAAGTGTAGATGCTTACTCTGATATATGGACACAATAATCCAGCCAAATTTGCAGATTAGGAACTTTTGTATGGCTTAATCTTTTCCCTAAACATATGTATCAGTTTTATGTACTGGGAAAGGCAAAATATGTAAAGGCATGGCCACTATTCTGAATTAGGGGACTAATTTTTCCCCATGTTTTTGGTGAGTTACTTTAGTTTACATACAGTGTGCTCTAGTGTGTAAAGGGATACATGGGTGTTAATATGTTCAGCAAAATAGAAAATCTTTTATTTAAAAGACTGGAATGTAAATCCTATTTTACAGATATGATTTCTTGACATTTTTGGGAACTCTAGCATGTCTTGTGCTTTTGTTTTAGGAACAAAAGTAAAATCTGTGGTGGGTTTGCCAAAACCCTCCCATTTTAAAACCTAACTTGAGCTAGAGGAACAAATTGCTGCTTTATTCACGTTTTGGTCTTTCCCATGGTGTGGTATCCCTCTTGACCTTTTTGTTTGTTTTGCTTTACATTTGACTCCAACAGAGATCAGAATACATTTTTTTTTGTGGGGGATTAGAGTTTGGCAATATGCTGGCAAATGGGAAAACACACAACATAAAGCAAATTTCTTCCACAGTGCTTTTAATACTGAGACAGATTTTTATCTACCAGAGCCAACAGAATGGAACATGAGTGCACCAGCAGCTCAGGGCTGTAAACACAGCTTCCTGATGACATATCCCTAGGGGGACAGATCATACAGTTTCTATATTATTCAACTTGTCACCCTACTGGCACAGAACTGATTTTTGTCCCAGAAAATGTCTCTTTCCTGAAACTCCAGCTGTCCTTCATTCATAAAGCAGTGTTTTAATAAGGTATTTGTTGATTATGAAGCAGCGATAGTGCTAATAATGAATCGCTAACAATATAGCATACTCCTTATTGTGGATGGTCTACTTGATGCCAAACAGCTGGAGGAAAAGTCGGGGGAAATGCAATCAAGCATTTAAACATCATAGCTGCATATTTCCAAATGTAAGCATCCAGATGCTTTAGCATTGTGGAGGTAATATGTTTGATTGCCTGCCTTTTTAAAATATTTTATCTGGATCTTTTGATGTTCTGTAGATGGAGTCACGGGCTATTCTTCATTTTCAATGTGCTGAATGGTTTTTCTGATCATGAATGGCAACAATAATGCTGAAGACTGAACAGAAGCCAGGCCTGGCAGGCATTGTGTGAGATAAGGGAGAAGAGGAAGATAGGATGCTTGGACTGTGGTTAAATGGGTCCCTCTCCTGGCTAATGTACGTGGAAGCACGGTACATGCTTTTTAAGGGATTCGGCTGAAGCAGTTTCAGTCAGTTAAGGAATATAAAGAAATTAAGATGCTGGGTGGAAAAACCAAATTCTGTTGTCCTCCCTGAAACCCAGAGGCTGAATAACGAGGAGCTTCCATGGGATATTTAGTTCTGGGAAGACAAAAATAAAAGAATAAAAAACCAAAAACCTGTCTACGGATGCCATTGAGGATACTGGCTTAAAAGAAATCAGGTTTTACTATGCTGAAGTAGACCTGTTCCCTTCCTCATCTGGATACCTTGTCAGGCAAAATTAAAAATCTAGAGACACGAAGTACTTTCTCTCTTTAGGATCTCAAAGTACCCTACCAAAGTCAACTCATGCTTCCCACTATACTTCTCCAATACCGGTTATTGGTACCTATAATTAGAGTCCTAGCCAAATGTTCCACTAAATTAAAACCCCTGAAAATTAATTATCTCATCAATGATGGCTCAGTTTCAGAACTGGATTCATAGGTTCTGGTGCTAAAATACATGCCAACTCCCTCTGAAGAGTCAAAGGAAAAAATAGTCATTTACTGACATGTTCCTGCAGGAATCAATAGCATCACAGAGGAGCCAAGAATAGCCTGGGCATATTAATAACTCAGCCTGCTCCCTGATTCAAGATGACTAGTTAAAGAGCATTATGCACTGATGATGACTCCGTGGCAGGAGGAACAATGTCATCATTAACACAGGGGACTGTTTAGCATTTCGGTCACTTCACACATAAAGAGAACTTAACACAGGACCATTTATTGTGCTTTAGACAAATGGTTTAACGTTTCTTTAGCCTTCAGCCCATCAGACCACCCATGGTTTTCTTCAGCCAAGGGCTTTTAAAAAATAATTGGTCTATAGCAATTTTCTAACAAGACTGACTGCAATATATTTCCCTAAATCTTCTTCCTACCCTTAACTATCCCTCACAGTGGTTTGTGGTTGTCAGAACTCTCTGTCTGACAACTGATTCCTCACATATAAGTAATTGCTGACATAAAAGGAGATAAGGGGGCTGAAATTTCATCATTAATGGTTTCTTTGCAATAGAAAAACTATTCAGAAATAATTACTTTGGAAAACAGCTCTTCCCTGATTAGACATTGCCTGACTCTCGAGAAGCCGTTTCTCAAAAATCTTTCAATACAGAAAATAACAATCCAACGTAGGCGGGTAACTGTGGGTGGCAAAAGGTGCACTGCATTGAGCATGTATGTGTTCATCTCAACATGCTAAGGGAAACGAGCAATTGTGCCTCTGTCTGAGAAGTACGTAAGAGTGCTCAGGAAGGAATAAAGAGGGTATGGATGGATGCCCTGCTCTTGCCATAGTGAGAGGCCAGTACAATGGATAAGCAAGCAGGATGTGTTTTTACAGTGCGAACTTCTGAAGGGATCTTAATGACCCCCCACCCCATGGTCCTGGCCACCGTTTAGCTCTCCGGGCCCTTTTATGAGTTCTTTTAGGGGAACAAAGTAATCCAGAGTTCCAGAGACTCTGCAGATTGGCCCAAATGGATGCTTATTTGAATACTCTTCCGTATGTATCCTCCTGGTAGGGTTCTGAAGAGGCAGGCTTAGGCCTGAGGCAGAGAAAAGCGATTATACAGCAGAGAGGATTTAGTAATGAGATGTTTTAAGACGGCAAATGTCTCCTGACTGTGCACTTGGGAGGGTTTGAGAGGGTTGGAAGGTTTAGCGCAGAGCCTGCGATTGGCTTTCCACTTTGAGGAACAAATATGTCTCGCTGGAGGCTCTTATTTCGCAGGGTTGGACTGGAGTCCTTGCTGATTCTGTGGCTGCTGCTAGGGTCAGGATTTTGCACGGATACTGTCAATTTTCTCACCTATGAGGAAGAAGCCACCGGCACCATCATCGGTGTTTTGTCTGATCACGTCCAGTCTAATTCCCAGCGCGAGGTGCCAAGCCAGTTCCGCCTGATGAAGCAGTTCAACAGCTCTCTGCTCCGGGTGCGCGAGGGCGACGGGCAGCTGACCGTCGGGGACGCGGGCCTGGACCGTGAGCGGCTGTGCGGCCAGGCCCCGCAGTGCGTGCTGGCCTTAGACGTGGTCAGCTTCTCTCAGGAGCAGTTCCGGCTGGTGCACGTGGAGGTGGAGGTGAGGGACGTCAACGACCACGCGCCGCGCTTCCCTAGGGCCCAGATCCCCGTGGAGGTGTCCGAGGGTGCGGCCGTGGGCACGCGCATCCCCCTGGAGGTGCCTGTGGACGAGGACGTGGGCGCCAACGGGCTGCAGAGCGTGCGCCTGGCCGAGCCACACAGCCCCTTCCGCGTGGAGCTGCAGACGCGCGCGGACGGCGCCCAGTGCGCGGATCTGGTGCTGCTGCAGGAGCTGGACCGCGAGAGCCAGGCGGCCTACAGCCTGGAGCTGGTGGCCCAGGACGGCGGCCGCCCGCCACGCTCCGCCACGGCCGCCCTCAGCGTGCG